ACCTGAAATTAGGGATCTTATGAAGTTACTGTGCTTTATCTTATCTTTCTTAATTTTATATTATCTTATTGTTTTTTTCTGTAGATATACTTAATCATTTAAATATCAATGCATTAATATGACATATAAACTATTCTATGGGTATTAGGTTTTATATTATTATTTTTATTATTATTATTAAGATTTTAAGGTAATAACTGCATTTGTTGATGGTCACAGCCATTACATGAAATCTTTTATTATTTAGGGTTTTACATGTAATCCTAATTTCTACATGTTACATGTAATACACATAAACACACATACATAAATAAATAAGCTATATATAAATTCACATTACAAGTAAAAGCCCTTTCATTACCAGCGGTCAAACTACCAACAAGTTTTGATTTAAAATTACCAGCTCGCACCATATGCAAAACTAATATAAATAAGTATATATACATATATGTCTATCTGTATACGTATACATGTATGTATGTATATGACACACCCACCCACACACAAATATATATATGTGTGTGTGTGTGCATGTGTGGGTGTGTGTGTATATAATATATAAAAATGTGTGTGAAAGATGGCAAAATGCACTACCAAATTGACATGATGAATATGTGACCGCTCCGACCGGGATTCGAACCCTCGCCGCCGTTGCAGGCAGGTAACTGCAAGACAGACACTCCAGCCATTGAGATACATGACAAACTAAAAGGAGTGTGCAACTAGGAGCTAACTAGCTTTCATAGACATTGCCTATCTACTCAAATCAGAAATCCTGAGGTGTATTTAATGAAAGATAGAATAATGCACTACCCCACCGATATGATGAATAAATAACCTCTCCGATCGGGATTCGAATCCTCACTTTGCAGCCAGTAACTACAAGACGAATGCTGTACTATTAAGCTACGCGACCCAATAATAGGAGCGTGTAACTAAGAGCTAACTTGCTTCCATAAACATAACCTATCTACTTATACGTGAGTAAGGATAATGGAATTTTACACACTCCCCGTGGGCACTCGGTAGAAAGTGATAGAGCAATTCAAATCCAAAATCAGAAATCCTGAGGTGTATTTAATGAAAGATGGAATAATGCACTACCACACTGATATGATGAGTAAATAACCCAGCGCCGTTGCAGCCAGGCAACTGCAAGACGGACACTCTAGCCATTGAGAGTTGGGAGTGTGTGTAAAACTTCGCTATCCTTATTCACGCATCAGTAGATAGGTAATGTCTATGGAAACTAGCTAACTCCTAGTTGCACACTCCTTTTAGTGGGTCGTGTATCTCAATGGTTAGGGTGGCTGTTTTGCAGTTACCTGCTTCCTATGGCTGCGAGGGCTCGAATCCCGATCGGGGAGGTTTTTTCAAGTATATATATATATATATATATATATATATATATATATATATATATATATATATATATATATATATTTTTTTTTTTTTTTTTTTTTTTTTTTTTTTTTTTTTTTTTTTTTTTTTTTTTGTAGTCATATATATACATATTTTTTTCGTAGTCATATGATTCATAAAAATAGGCTCAATATGTTTACATAAAACCTGTTTGCATTGGAATGAAAGAAAATGAATGCAAAACACAAGAAATAATTGTGCATTCTTTATTATAAACAAGCTATTCAATCTCACACCATTCATTTCGCGAATAAGTTATTTACATATCGGAGGAATCGGTTCTGTACATGACTTTCTTTTCCCTTTCCAAAGGCGTCTACTGCGGCCTCTGGTAGAGCTGGGAGGGCGCGGCGTCCCTGGTCTCCGCCGCGGCAAGAGCGTCTTCCTCAGCTGCCTTTGCGATCTGCCTGAGCACGAACTCGGGAATCTCATGAGGGAATTCGGGAGCAATTGGCAGGTGGTCACCCTCGGGCTGGAAGCCGTCCTCGTTGGCGACGTAGGTGACCTCGATCAGGTTCCCGTCGGGTGCAGTGTACCTGGAAAGGAAAGCTTCGTAAATGGTGGCGATAGAAATTACATTTTTGATATCTCCAAAAAGTGACTGAGGATAGTGTTAACCTATCATTATTGCCTGAATTAACTATATTCTATAACCCGGATATATGGTAGCGATAGAAATTACATTTTTAATATACAATAAAAGTTTTTAATATACAATAATTAATTTTGGATGGTGGTAACAATAGTAAAATCACTGCTGTTTCTTATGACAGTATGGGTCATACATGTCGTCATTAATGATGTATGGCAATAGGCATACTGATGATAATTCTTATAAAAGTAACACTAACCAAAACAATACTAATGCTACTTATTAATTAAGATTATATCTAATACGTAGATAATAGCAGTGGTTATAATAATGATTAGAATATATATATATACGCATGAAACGAGTACACATGTGCATATATACAGACATCTACTAAAGTTGTCATACTCACGAGTACTTTCCGGAGGCAACGATGGCGCCCTCAGGGCCGTCAGGTGAGCCGGACTCCGAGGCGGTGATGCCGTCGCCAGTCTCGATGTCGAAGTTGTACCTGCCGTCGTCCTCTTGGACTCGGTCGTCCCTCAGGATGGGCACGACGTCAGCTACCTCAGGTACGCCCCTTGTGGAGGGGTCAGGGAGAGAGTAGCCGTTCTGGGGGACATCAGCGGCGGCCACGACAGTGAGAGCAAGGAGAATCGCCTGTGGGAAGACAGAATGTTTCTGCACTTTTTATGTTGCCGCGATCTGCATTTAATTGCTAAATACATCTATCACTTTTTTGTTTATCTTTCATTCTATGTATATATATATATATATATATATATATATATATATATATATATATATATATATATATATATATATATATATATATATATATATATATATATATATATGTGTGTGTGTGTGTGTGTGTGTGTGTGTATTTATGGTATACATACGTACACACATACATATAAATATATAAATATATATGTATATATGTGTTTATACGTATACATATATGTATATATAAATATATTGATGTTTGCGTGACTATCATGATTATGGTCAAAATACCGCTGTCAGACAAGCACAACTTCACAAAACCATTCAGGAGGTTCACTCACAAACTTCATGGTGCTCAGAGTAGTAGTGAACTGATGATCCGGTTATGAATCTCAGACTCTTATATACCGAGGGAAAAGCTGCCCTTGAATTGGGTCGTCTTACCCTTCACCTCATATGCTGCTGCTCTTCATGGCCATGCGTCTTCCATGCTTATCTTAGGAAAGAATAGTGTAATAGGGGAAAATACTTGTAAACCCCAGTAAGGTGGTGTGTTTGATGCAAAGTAAGGCATTCAGATTACAATGACCTCTTTACTGCATCGTCAGTTAGAACGTACGATAGTCCTGGTATGATGTTACTTCTTTCATACACTCCTTACCAGGCTTACGATAATGAGGATTTGAATATGCCATAACCCCCCCCCCTCCCCTCATCGTTACTATTGTTATCTCCTCATTAGATAAAAAGTAATTGAAAAGGAAGTTCTAGATACTATTTACGTGCATGTATGGATAGACAACTTTCATACTAGTAACACTAAATAGTATTTAATTAGATTTCTTTAACTAAGGATATTTCTACATAGTAAAGGGGGTTTACCTGTAAACCTACACACACGCGCACAGTTAAATGTGTGTGAATGGTTATTTGTATGTATGTACGTATAGGTAGAGAGAGAGAAAAGGGGAGTTTGTACATTTATTAAATCCTTCAGTTAATTAAGAATATACAATGTCACCTTCCCTTGTGCGCGGGGATAGCAAATTTGCTAGCTGGAAGGTTTCATTAGTTACTTCCCTAATAAATAACTCCTTGTCAGGCAGTTGGTCCTTATATCAGCTGTATTCCTCCTGAACATGAGTTGGATGAATCTGAACTCTACAGTAGAATGGAAAGACTCTAGCGATACTGTACATATAGGTATGTGTATGGATGGATGTATTTATATAATGCCAAACGTTTATGTGCAAGCTTTCTTAAATGAGGAAAGAGAATAATAAATGCAGACGCGCCCTTACAGCCACATTATTTTGTATCATTATTTTGCCCTCTCACTTAACTACATGTTTTGCACCGCGAGTAGTTCAGATCTCGGTTCATTAGATTTGCACCCCGTCCTGAAAGTTGTAATATTTAGCATACATCTGATTAAATTTCTAATGAAGTCTTGCTGTGTGTTTGCTTGATTTGTCTGTTTGTGTACTCATTTATTCCTTTAGGTGTTGTTACTGTTGTTACTAATTTTGTTTTTGTTGATGTTATCATCATTATTATTATTATTATCAATATTGTTATTATTATTAGTATTGATGTTATTACCAGTCCTATCTCTTTTACTGTTATTGTTTTTATTTTTTTCATCAAACATCACATTATCATTATCATCACTATTATTATCATTATCATCATTACAATTACTATCATTGGTATTCGCACCATCATTATCAGTATTATTCTCATAATTACTGTTATCGTTATTATCATTATATTTTGTTGTTATCATAGCTATTATTATACTGTCGGCATTATCATTCTTATTATCATTATTATTGTTGCTGTTAGCATTATCATTATTACTATTGTTATTATTACTATTATTATCATTGATTTATTTATTCATTTTTATAATATAATTATGATTATTATTTCATTACTATTTTACATTATCAATATTATCATTATTATTATCATTATTGTTATTATTATTATTATCATTGTTGCTATTATTGTTATTATTATTATCATTATCAGCATCATCGTTATCGTTGTCGAAAAGGTATGCATGATGATGAATATCTTATCAGTACAATTTCGATCCTCATCCTTTTAATCGAAGCTGGTCAAATTCATTTCTTGCAATGTGAAGTTTTTATTTCTCATTTAAACTTTTTCTATATTTGTTGTATGGATACTATTCACTATGATCATTATCATTACCGTCATCATTGTCACCATTATATCTATCTTTATCATC